TGTGTACACAATAAACTATTCCTACTATTCTGGCCTCCAATGACTTCTTCTCCACTAAGGAACCATGGTCTGAATATCGCAGTTGCTAGGGTTTAACTCACTCAACCCCCTGCGATAATAACGCTGTGCAGAGTTTCCACCTGGTCCAATTTAACGATGGTTAACCTGTAACGGATATAGCGTAGCCACAAATTGGCGTTAATAAGTGGTATCTCCGTAACCCAAACTTTTCCCATCGTGGCGTCAGCCAAGAATCCCGGAAGGACCAGCCCCACGGGGTCTCCATTGATCTGTCGATGGCATGGTTGTGCGAATGAAAAACATAGTTTTCAAATCTATAGTAGGCGGTCGAACTCATGAAATCCAACGAACAGTCCTAAGTTTGTGTATGTATTCCAGCAGGATTTCATGAGGATTGCTATTTGTTCCTTCCATCTATATATTGCTTGAACTAAATTGAACTAAGTCAACCAAACTGTCATTAACTTTTGCGATTGGAAGTCACAGGGGTGAGATATTTCGTCAGTTCACAGACTGTCATGCCGGTCAGTGATTAAGTAATTAAAATGGAATTAATATTTGCAATCATAAAGGTTCCATTTTTTGAACACTTGGATTAATTTTGGGATTTCGATTACGACGAGGTTCTGATCGTTCTTAAAATAATGATGAATACTTTTCAATTTTCACTGGCTTCTGTCGATTAACAATAAATAAAGATTATATTCGACCTGCTCTCCAAAGCCCTCACAGCAAAAGAATATATCCGTTGCGTTTAAAGCTTTTCTATTCATTGATTCCGCTTCATACATTATAAATATTAGAAGACCTTTTGCGTAGAGCTTGACGGAGAATTTTTTGTCTTTTCTCGGATGTTTGCATATAGGCTTAGTAACGACCGTTATTTTCGATGGGTTAAACGAATTACAGATTTTTATGTGTATTTCTTAATCTAGCACATATCAAATTTGCAATATAGAACTTACTAAACACAATTCACACTTCTTTTTCCGACAATAATGTCTTATGTCATAAATACACTAACCTCAATTTCCTGAACGTTAAGCAAACTTGTCTGTTCTATGACCATATATCATTAAACGGTTTTTGCTTTTTATTAACGTTCATTTATAGTACAACACGCCCAAGCAAGAAGCATTTAGTAATTTAGGAACTTCTCTGCATACCGAGAAACGTTGGAATTGACCCCTTTTTGCCAATTTTGTCCCCGTATACTGATCTGAACATAATTATTTGCTGATAAGCAGCTTCGTCCATCCGTTTTCTCCAACCATAAGAGCCTCATTCTCATGGTTCTCGTAAGCCAGAAACCTGGGGCTTCTTTTACACAAGACCACAACCAACCATACTTCTGTCCAAATTTCTGAGGACGATGTCTCCCCCTTTATACATGTCGTAGCTTACAGTTCCGCGTGCGTACAACTAAACTGTGGCATAATTCGCTAATGTCGACGCAATCTAAGGCCCATTCCTCTGCCTTTGCGAAATGTGCCATAAAAATTTGGCAAAACTTGGTCGACAGCAGTCACCGGCTACACGTAAACCAAGCGTTTCGTGTCTTGTATAAAGTACCAGCGAAACACTCCAAGTTCCTGCGTCAACGTACTTGCGACGGCAGAAGCTGTGGCCATACGACTCACAAACCTGATCTTATTTGCACATAAGGCCTTCATCGTGGCCCTACGGCTCGCGTGGCCGAGAACAAGCTCAAACTCAACATGCGTCAGCAAACCTTATAGCATGCTGGTAGATGATGAGCAGACAGTGACAACTGGTGTCAAGACGCCGCGACCAGTTGACATGAAAAAATTATGAGACACTCTACCCCCCTCCCCCATGTCCCCCCTTTGATCACTTACCAACTCCCCTTACCCCCTCAAATACTGTTGATTGGTTGCTTAAACTTTTGCGAACTCTACCACCTTTATATTATTGTACACGCCTGATGATTAATTAATCGAAAACGTTCGTTCGCCCATCTTGACTTCTTAATAAATAAAGATGAAACAAAAGGGAATTTTTATTTTAGCACAGGTTCCTGCGCCAGGGTTCAAGTCAGGAAGTTCCAATTGAAGGCGTTAGCCACAAATGGGTTTTGGTCCCTCTAAAAGTATGCGTTTCAGGGCTGCCAGAAGCGTATAATCTTGCCGGTGAAATCGGGTCGCTGTTTTCAACAGCGTTACCTGCGTTGTTTTCAGTTTGCCAATTACACCTGCATTGTCCTCGCAGACGTCCAATTCTCCGGATATCTGGTAGGTCTTTCCATCGAGTGTATTTTCCATAGTATTGATCTCTCTGCCCTGAAAATAATACAATTTACTGAATTAGTAAACAATTCTTCCTTTAAGTTTGTGTCAGACCATCTCTATCACAGCAATATAGTAGAAAGGGACTTTGAGGTTGAAGCCATAATGCACTGCTCTGATATCATAATGCCATTGCTGGAGGGTGGTAACCCGAGGATGTAAAAACAT